GCGCTTTCGCTATTGTAACCCCCCACCCGCCGCCTTCTCCTCGACCACCTCCTCCACCGCCCCCCCCTTTCAAAATGGCGCTCGCGGGAAGGTTTTTGTTTTTTTGTGCAGCAGTGAGGGAGGGAGAGGCGCCATGTTCCGCGCTCGCGCAGCAAAGCTTTACAGTGCATGCTCAGTTGAGCTCGTGCGAGGTGCATCGGCCGTTCAGTTGTTTGTACAGTGATCTCTGCTGCATTGTCCCTCCCAGCTGGTCCAGTCATGCAGGTGCAGCCCCCCTGATGGGGGTTGCCGAGGGAGGCATCGTGTCAGGAAAGCGCCGAGAGGAACCAAGGCTCTCAAGAGGAACCCGTGTTCCTCTGGGCCCGGCTGTGGTGCAGCACATGCAGCGTGTCTGGCACTTTGGTGCAGTAATGCATTAGGAATGCATTGTTGTAGTGCCGCGGATCCCAGTCAGTCCTGGATACCTCAGTGCTCTGCACGTCATTGTGCACACCTGACCCTCTTAAAAAAGATGGTTCTTCAAGGGTTCTTTAGTGAAGAAAGTGGTTCTGTTCAGAACCATGAACACTCACATACCATTTGCATGATTAAAGGGTTCTTTGCATTGTGAAAGGGTTCTGCTGTTATTATGTCAAGCTTGTAACAATTGAAGAACCCTTTTGTGTGCTATACAGAACCCTTTACAAAAAGGTTATATATAGAACCATCTACAGCACCTTCTCCATCAGTCTGAAGAACACTTTTGTGATGCAGAGAAGCCTTTAATCATGCAAGGGGTTCTGTGAGTGTGTATGGTTCCACATGGAACCATTTCCTTTACTGAAGAACCATCTTTTTTAAAAGTGTACACTCTTAAAAAATGGTTCTTCAATGGTTCTGTTTAGAGCCGTGAGTTCTGTTGAACCATTTCATGCATACATGGTTCTTTGCATGGTAAAATGGTTCTTCAGATCGATGGAGAATGTGTCGTACATGGTAAGTATGAAATGGTTCAATAAAGAACTCATGGCTTTAAATAGAACCACTGGCTTTTCTAAAGAACCCTTAAAGAACCATCTTTTTTAAGAGCCGAAATGAGAAATGTAACTGTCACTGTGTCAGTTGTGAACATGCCTACTCTCCTCGCAGCGGTGCTGTAGTGAGTGAGACTGTCCTCTTTAAAGACTGGGAAAACCCCCTTCTAATGATGCGTCTTGAAGGTGGGAGGAGCTTCTGAAAGAGCTTTTGAAGGGGGAGGGGCACCGTGTGAAATGTTGTTGGAGGAATGGAACACAGAATAACACAGCAGCTAATCAATTAAATAGAAGTAAACAAATAAAATTAAAGAACAGTGAATGACCTGAAATGGAAACCTGAGGCTGAACCGCCCCATATTGAGTTGAATCAGGTGTTCTAGATAAGGGACGTCACGGAAACGTGTGCGGAAGGGCAGCAGCACAGTGTTACGATCTCATTCAAATTTAACCCCGTAAACCGGCTTCTCCTCGTTTCAGAAAGTCTCTGTCAGAGGTTAACGAGGGAGTGAGCTGCCCAGGTTAGCTAAAGAGTCAGTGAGGGAGCTTAGCATTAGGCAGTGATGGCATCAGTACATTTAAACCCAGACGACTGTAGATCATAATGAAGACATGAACATTGGACTCTGGAAACAAAGTTACAAAGAGGGAACACAAGGCCCTGGGTTATAGACATTTAATGAGCAAATAAAGAGCTGGGGGCACGTAGAACCCTGGGAACATGGGACTTAAGGAACATAGGGCCCTGGGAACACAGGGCTTTAGGAATATAGGGCTTTAGGAACATAAGGCCCTGGTAACAAAGAACCTTGGGAACGTAGGGCTTTAGGAACCCAGGGACCTAGTAACATAGAACCTTGAGAACAAAGGGCATTAGGAACATAGGGCTTTAGGAACACAAGGACCTAGTAACATAGAACCCTGGGAACATAGGGCTTTAGGAACACAGGGACATAGTAACATAGAACCCTGGGAACATAGGGCTTTAGGAACACAGGGACCTAGTAACATAGAACCCTGGGAACATAGGGCTTTAGGAACATAGGGGTTTAGGAACACAGGGACATAGTAACATAGAACCCTGGGAACATAGGGCCCTGGTAACATAGAACCCTGGGAACATAGGGCTTTGGAAACATAGTGGCCTGGGAATGTAGGGCTTTAGGAACACAGGGACCTAGGAACATAGAACCCTGGGAACATAGGGCCCTAGGAACACAGGGACATAGTAACGTAATAACATCGGTGTAGATTTTGCATTGCAGATTAAAACGACATGCATTAAACATTGTTTTAGGCAGGACTTCACTAAACCTGAAGGTTCTCTCATCCTCACTGGATCTACAGTCGTCTACGTTTACAGCATTAATAATAAGCATTATTAATGTTCGGTTCATGTTCTGATTCGTATTCTTTTCTGCTTCTCAATCAGAAATGTTTCTGCCCAAAGTCTTCTTAAAACTATTGTAAAAAGCTCTATAATGTTCATATGATCCACACAGTCACTCTGACAGACTGTAGTACACTACAGGAAGCGTAGGGGGCGATGTGGCTTCTACTGTTTCATTTAAAAAGCTCTATAATGTTCATATGATCCACACAGTCACTCTGACAGACTGTAATACACTACAGGAAGTGTAGGGGGCGATATGGCTTCCACTTTTTCATTTCTGTAGTGATTTTCTGTTGGACAGACAGAATTTTGAATGATGTGAACTCCAAAGAGAGGGAGCACCTGAAGAAGGCAGAACAGAGAGATTCGTTAGTTGAATTATTCAATTTTTATTGAATTAAAAATTATTGATTTTTAGAAATAATCGTTAGTTGTAGTCCTGAGTGTTGGGTTAGTGTGCGTCCATCAGCTTCTATTTGAAGGCAGCTGTCGTGAGTCAGTGCCTTATAAGGCAGCGTTGTCCGCTGTGTCGGTTTTGGTGTTTTCTGATTTTTTTTCTAACTGCATCAGCGTGGGCGCACAGGATTATGGGATATGTAATGGAGGAACTTAGCGCAGGTAGCGTTTATCGATCAGCCTCAGAGTGCTGTGTGGGTAGGCGACATTTATGAGGTTTCAAATGCAGCCTTTGTCTTGCTTTGCTAAGTCTGTTTTGATTGGCTGTCTGTGTGTGGAGCAGCTCTTTGATTGGTCGATTTTGCTGGTCTAGGTTTTAGGGAGGCCAATGAAGAGTAAGGACGATGGATGAAGATGTGGCGAGACTTGCACTCCGTTCCCAAGAGCCGAAGATCATCCTCCATGGCTCAGGTACAGTACGGTCTCCAGGATCAGTCGACTGGTCAGCAGTTTTATTTTATACTTTTGTCGTAGCATATATATATATATATATATCATTCTGACCACCTCCTTGTTTCTCCACTCACTGTCCATTTTATCAGCTCTACTTACTATATAGGTGCACTTTGTAGTTCTACAGTTACAGACTGTAGTCCATCTGTTTCTCTGATACTTTGTTAGCCCCCTGTTCTTCAGTGGTCAGGACCCCCATGGACCCTCACAGAGCAGGTACTATTTGGGTGGTGGATCATTCTCAGCACTGCAGTAACACTGACATGGTGGTGGTGTGTTAGTGTGTGTTGTGCTGGTCTGAGTGGATCAGACACAGCAGTGCTGCTGGAGTTTTTAAACACTGTGTCCACTCCCTGTCCACTCTTAGACACTCCTACCTTGTCAGTCCACCTTGCAGATGTAAAGTCAGAGACGATAGCTCATCTGCTGCTGCACAGTTTGTGTTGGTCATCCTCTAGTCCTTCATCAGTGGTCACAGGACGCTGCCCACAGGATGCTGTTGGCTGGATATTTTTGGTTGGTGGACTATTCTCAGTCCAGCAGTGACACTGAGGTGTTTAAAAACTCCAGCAGCACTGCTGTATCTGATCCACTCAGACCAGCACAACACACACTAACACACCACCACCACGTCAGTGTTACTGCAGTGCTGAGAATGATCCACCACCCAAATAGTACCTGCTCTGTGAGGGTCCATGGGGGTGCTGACCACTGAAGAAGTGGTCATAAGAAGTGACAAGGGTCATAAATACACCATATCACTCTGCAGTCTGCATATTACTACCCTGTGGAAGGCCTTCAAAAGGTTCCCCCTTTCTCTTTCTTTCTTTCTCTCTTTCTTTCTTTCTTTCTTTTCCTTGTTTTGTTTTTATTTTATCTCTAGCAGGTGTTTTATTGTCTTTTTAAAGCTTTGTTTCACATTTTTGTCTCTAATTCTTGCTCTTCTTCTTTTTGCTGCTGATTCTTTTTCTTTCTTTGTTTTTGTCTTTAATGTGTTTCTGATCATTTCCTTATTCCTTTTTGTCTTTCGTCTGTGTGTGTTTATATTTCCGATCGCGGTCCTTATTCCTCCTCTGCTCTGATTTCTGTCTCTGGTGGTCTGTGTATCAGATGATGGGGGGCTGTGTGGAGAGGAGTACGTGGTGGAGCTGCAGGAGACGGTGTTGGTATCCGAGGGAGACGGTGATGGAGACGGAGACGGAGACGTGGAGGCCGACGCTGTGAGAGGGTTCTCCTCAGATGAACTCGTCATCCAGGATGCCGTGGAGGACGTGGTCGCCGATGACGACGAGGGCGTTGCCGTGGAGACGTGCGTGATGTCTCTGGAGGGCGAGGAGGAGGAAGAGGAGGGCGTTGCCATGGCGGAGATGACTGAGGACATGCTGGTAGAGGAGAGAGAGAACGACTCGGACACCTGCGGAGATTACCTGATGATTTCCTGTAAGATTCATTCATTCGTTCACTCATTCTTCTTCACACACCTCCAATCCTGCGGGGAGTACCTGATGATTTCCTATAGTAATTTCCTATATTCATTCATTCACTCATTTCCTCACTCACTCGTTCATACTCACATACACTTCCATCCTGTGGAGATTAACCAGTGATGTGCTGCAAGACTCATTCTCTCATTCTTACTCCCACGCCCCCGACCTGCAGAGATTACTCATTCATTCAGGACTTCACTCATTCGTTCATTTGTTCACTCTAGCTTGCTCTCTTGCATCCCCATTTTCTGGCGATTATCTGATGATGTCCTGTAAGAGACATTCAGTCATTCATTCATTAATGCATCCATTCATTCACTCATTCACTCATTCTTTATTATATATTAACAAAGTCATTCATTTACGCATCCATTCATTTACTCATTCTCAAATAATTAGTTACTCAGTCAATTTAATCATTCATTTATTTATACATCCATTCATTCATTCATTCACTTATTCATAATTAATTAGTTACTTAATCCATACATTAATTCATTTATGCATCCATGCATTCACACATTTTTAATTAATGAATTCATTCATTCATTCTTTCGTTCATTCACTAATTCCTACTCACTCATCGCTCCACCCTGAGGAGGTTACCTGGTGATTGACTGCAAAGTTCATTCATTCATTCATGTGACCAGCATCTGGATTCCTAGACTGAGATCAGGCCTAAGCCCGAACCACAGGAGGTTTTTAATGGGGAAACATTATTGATATTAGTTTAGTTCAAACCCCTGAATTATGAGGTCGTTTAGTAGCTGAAATCTGAGTTTTGCAACATGTCAGCACTGCTGCCCACTGAACTGACCCCACCAAAAGGACCAAAACTGCAGGCTGCAGTTTGAGTAGCTGGAGTTGGAATATAACAGTGTTGAAGTTTAATAGTAAACTTACTTTCATCTTGTTTGTAGCATTAGATTTTGATTTTTTAACGACCTCGTAATTCAGAGGATCCAGTGAGAGAAGGAGGAGACGGTCACTGGATGGAAACTGTCCTCTGTTTATGAGGAAAGCCCCACCCTTCAATAAAAAGAGCCAATCAGCTTGCTGTTTTAGCTGCAAGTGGAAAAAGCCCCCCTGATAGTGGAGATATGCGCAGCAGCCAGAACAAGCTGGAAAATCATACGTGTTGTGCATTATTTGAACCAAATGGTGCAAATTATTTGTGTTTTTGTCAGATTTTATTATTGAGTTCAAATGTGCTTTTGAAAGTTATCATGGCTTTTATTTTCAGTTTTAAAAGTCTCTCTACGTTTAAAGTCTTGTATGACTGGAAAGAACTGCCCGGGGGGCGTGGCCAAGAGATGGCCGACAGGTGGACACACTGTCCTGGTACCTGTCTGGTATCAGTGTTGCCCACAAAACCCTCATATCGTTCAGGTTTCAATGTGACTCAGTGTCTCTCGCTCTCTGTCTCCCCCCAGTGGACGAGGCGGGGAAGATGGTTTCTGCTGATGGAGAGGAAGTGACGGTGGAAGGAGCGCTAGGTGATCAGGAAGTGGAGAAAGACGAGGACGGACAGGAGGTCATTAAAGTTTACATCTTCAAAGCCGACTCTGGGGAGGACGACCTCGGTGAGCCCGTGTCTGTTTTACTGCTTTGGTCTGCTTTGTTTATGAAGCTCTATAAGCAGTAGTTCTTTTTTCAAGATCAGTTCACTGCAGTGACACTTCACGACAGTGCCGACTGCCCCGGTCAGCTTTCCACATTTAGGCCACTAGAAATGCCTTTGAGATTTTTCACCAATGTTCACATTCACAGATATTCATCATGAATAACTAGAAAACAGCTTTTCTACTTTTTGTCAGAATTCACCAGCTGTTAGCGTAACCTTCACCACAGCTAACGTAACAACGTCACAGCCTATACAGCTGTTATAAAGCGTCGTACTCTCAGTGGCAGTGCTGAAAATAATAATGGCTGAAAAAATCACAGAGTGGAGCGGTACAAAGAATTTGTGTGGCTGCAGAGTGATTTTGGTGGGATGGACTGTGATTTTGGTGAAATGCGATTGCGGGTTTTGGTGGAGTGCGAGTTTTGGTGGAGTGTGAGTTTAGGGGAGTGCGAGTTTGGTGGAGTGTGAGTGCGAGTTTGGTGGAGTGCGAGTGCGAGTTTGGTGGAGTGCGGGTGCGAATTTTGGTGGAGTGCGAGTTTGGAGGAGTGTGAGTTTTTGTGGAGTGCGAGTTTTGGTGGAGTGCGAGTTTGGTGGAGTGCGAGTTTTTGTGGAGTGCGAGTTTTTGTGGAGTGCGAGTTTGGTGGAGTGCGAGTGCGAGTTTTGGTGGAGTGCGAGTTTTGGTGGAGTGCGAGTTTTGGTGGAGTGTGAGTTTAGGGGAGTGCGAGTTTGGTGAGGTGTGAGTGTGAGTTTTGGGGGAGTGTGAGTGTGAGTTTGGTGGAGTGCAAGTTTGGTGGAGTGCGAGTTTGGTGCAGTGCGAGTTTGGTGGAGTGCGAGTTTTGTGGAGTGCGAGTTTTGTGGAGTGCGAGTGCGAGTTTTGTGGAGTGCGAGTTTTGTGGAGTGCGAGTTTTGTGGAGTGCGAGTTTTGTGGAGTGCGAGTTTGGTGGAGTGCGAGTTTTGTGGAGTGCGAGTTTGGTGGAGTGCGAGTTTGGTGGAGTGCGAGTGCGAGTTTTGTGGAGTGCGAGTTTTGTGGAGTGCGAGTTTTGTGGAGTGCGAGTTTGGTGGAGTGCGAGTGTGAGTTTTGTGGAGTGTGAGTTTTGTGGAGTGTGAGTTTTGTGGAGTGTGAGTTTTGTGGAGTGCGAGTTTGGTGCAGTGCGAGTTTGGTGGAGTGCGAGTGCGAGTTTGGTGCAGTGCGAGTTTGGTGCAGTGCGAGTTTTGTGGAGTGCGAGTTTTGTAGAGTGCGAGTTTTGTAGAGTGCGAGTTTTGTGGAGTGCGAGTTTGGTGGAGTGCGAGTGCGAGTTTGGTGGAGTGCGAGTTTGGTGGAGTGCGAGTGCGAGTTTGGTGCAGTGCGAGTTTGGTGCAGTGCGGGTTTGGTGGAGTGCGAGTTTTGTGGAGTGCGAGTTTGGTGGAGTGCGAGTGCGAGTTTGGTGGAGTGCGAGTTTGGTGGAGTGCGAGTTTGGTGGAGTGCGAGTTTGGTGGAGTGCGAGTGCGAGTTTGGTGCAGTGCGAGTTTGGTGGAGTGCGAGTGCGAGTTTGGTGCAGTGCGAGTTTGGTGCAGTGCGAGTTTGGTGCAGTGCGGGTTTGGTGGAGTGCGAGTTTTGTGGAGTGCGAGTTTGGTGGAGTGCGAGTTTGGTGGAGTGCGAGTGCGAGTTTGGTGGAGTGCGAGTTTGGTGGAGTGCGAGTTTGGTGGAGTGCGAGTTTGGTGGAGTGCGAGTTTTGTGGAGTGCGAATGCGAGTTTGGTGGAGTGTGAGTTTTGTGGAGTGCGAGTGCGAGTTTGGTGGAGTGCGAGTTTGGGGGGAGTGCGAGTTTGGTGCAGTGCGAGTTTGGTGGAGTGCGAGTTTGGTGGAGTGCGAGTTTTGTGGAGTGCGAGTTTGGTGCAGTGCGAGTTTGGTGCAGTGCGAGTTTGGTGGAGTGCGAGTTTGGTGGAGTGCGAGTTTGGTGCAGTGCGAGTTTGGTGCAGTGCGAGTTTGGTGGAGTGCGAGTTTTGTGGAGTGAGTTTTGTGGAGTGCGAGTTTTGTGGAGTGCAAGTTTTGTGGAGTGTGAGTTTTGTGGAGTGCGAGTGCGAGTTTGGTGGAGTGTGAGTTTGGTGGAGTGCGAGTTTGGTGGAGTGCGAGTTTGGTGGAGTGCGAGTTTTGGTGCAATGCGAGTTTTGGTGCAATGCGAGTTTTGGGGGAGTGCGAGTTTTGGTGCGGTGCGAGTTTTGGTGCAGTGCGAGTTTTGGGGGAGTGCGAGTTTTGGTGCAGTGCGAGTTTAGGGGAGTGTGAGTGCGAGTTTTGGTGGAGTGCGAGTTTTGGTGGAGTGTGAGTTTAGGGGAGTGCGAGTTTGGTGAGGTGTGAGTGTGAGTTTTGGGGGAGTGTGAGTGTGAGTTTGGTGGAGTGCAAGTTTTGTGGAGTGCGAGTTTTGTGGAGTGCGAGTGCGAGTTTGGTGGAGTGCGAGTGCGAGTTTGGTGGAGTGCGAGTTTGGTGGAGTGCGAGTTTGGTGGAGTGCGAGTTTTGTGGAGTGCGAATGCGAGTTTGGTGGAGTGCGAGTTTGGTGGAGTGCGAGTTTTGTGGAGTGCGAATGCGAGTTTGGTGGAGTGCGAGTTTGGTGGAGTGCGAGTTTTGTGGAGTGCGAATGCGAGTTTGGTGGAGTGCGAGTTTGGTGGAGTGCGAGTTTTGTGGAGTGCGAGTGCGAGTTTTGTGGAGTGCGAGTGCGAGTTTGGTGGAGTGCGAGTTTGGTGGAGTGTGAGTTTTGTGGAGTGTGAGTTTTGTGGAGTGTGAGTTTTGTGGAGTGCGAGTTTGGTGCAGTGCGAGTTTGGTGCAGTGCGAGTTTTGTGGAGTGTGAGTTTTGTGGAGTGTGAGTTTTGTGGAGTGTGGAGTGTGAGTTTTGTGGAGTGTGAGTTTGGTGCAGTGCGAGTTTGGTGCAGTGCGAGTTTTGTGGAGTGCGAGTTTTGTGGAGTGTGAGTTTTGTGGAGTGTGGAGTGTGAGTTTTGTGGAGTGCGAGTTTGGTGCAGTGCGAGTTTGGTGGAGTGCGAGTTTGGTGGAGTGCGAGTTTTGTGGAGTGCGAGTGCGAGTTTTGTGGAGTGCGAGTGCGAGTTTGGTGGAGTGCGAGTTTTGTGGAGTGCGAGTTTTGTGGAGTGCGAATGCGAGTTTGGTGGAGTGTGAGTTTTGTGGAGTGTGAGTTTGGTGGAGTGCGAGTTTTGTGGAGTGCGAGTTTTGTGGAGTGCGAATGCGAGTTTGGTGGAGTGTGAGTTTTGTGGAGTGTGAGTTTGGTGGAGTGCGAGTTTTGTGGAGTGCGAGTGCGAGTTTGGTGGAGTGTGAGTTTTGTGGAGTGTGAGTTTTGTGGAGTGCGAGTTTGGTGCAGTGCGAGTTTGGTGCAGTGCGAGTTTTGTGGAGTGTGAGTTTTGTGGAGTGTGAGTTTTGTGGAGTGCGAGTTTGGTGCAGTGCGAGTTTGGTGCAGTGCGAGTTTGGTGCAGTGCGAGTTTGGTGCAGTGCGAGTTTTGTGGAGTGTGAGTTTTGTGGAGTGTGAGTTTTGTGGAGTGCGAGTTTGGGGGGAGTGCGAGTTTGGTGCAGTGCGAGTTTGGTGCAGTGCGAGTTTTGTGGAGTGTGAGTTTTGTGGAGTGTGAGTTTTGTGGAGTGCGAGTTTGGTGCAGTGCGAGTTTGGTGCAGTGCGAGTTTGGTGGAGTGCGAGTTTTGTGGAGTGAGTTTTGTGGAGTGCGAGTGCGAGTTTTGTGGAGTGCGAGTTTGGTGGAGTGCGAGTGCGAGTTTGGTGGAGTGCGAGTTTGGTGGAGTGCGAGTTTTGGTGCAATGCGAGTTTTGGTGCAGTGCGAGTTTTGGGGGAGTGCGAGTTTTGGTGCAGTGCGAGTTTTGGTGCAGTGCGAGTTTTGGTGCAGTGCGAGTTTTGGGGGAGTGCGAGTTTGGTGCAGTGCGAGTTTTGGTGGAGTGCGAGTTTAGGGGAGTGCGAGTGCGAGTTTGGTGGAGTGCGAGTTTTGGTGCAGTGCGAGTTTGGTGGAGTGCGAGTTTAGGGGAGTGCGAGTGCGAGTTTGGTGCAGTGCGAGTTTTGGTGCAGTGCGAGTTTGGTGCAGTGCGAGTTTTGGTGCAGTGCGAGTTTGGTGGAGTGCGAGTTTGGTGCAGTGCGAGTTTGGTGCAGTGCGGTTTTGAGAAGGATGTGGTTGTTCTATCCAGCATGTTGTCAGTTTCAACAGCAGCAGACGGTTCACTCTGCACTGGGAGAGACTCGTTTTGAGCAGTGGTTCTCTGACTGGTCCTCTGTGACCTCAGACGGTCCAGATTTTCACTCTGTCACTGTGAGTTGGGTTGGAGTAAAAACATGGACTGTCTGGGGTCCCTGAGGACCGGCTTGAGAACCACAAGGTTTATTTAAAAGCACGACCACAGCTTTGAACAGGTGGCGTTACAGCGCGGTGATCTTCAGTGACCACAGTAACAAACCTCAGCTCTTCAGTCAGGCTGACCGTAGAGAGGAAAACAAGGATCTCTTCACGTCATTCGCTGGTTTGACTGGCATAATGATCATAATGATCAAAGCTCAGGACAGAAAGCAGCACCTGGCTGGTTTTGGCACTGAAACAGTCTTGTTCATCTTGTATGCAATAAACTTGTTTCTGTTACGCGTCCATAACTGTTTCTCTCTCTCTCTCTCTCTCTCTCTCTCTCTCTCTCTCTCTCTCTCTCCTTGTTTAGGTGAGCCGGTGGATATAGGTGAAGGTGACTCTGAGACCCTGGCTCTGACGGACTCAGTGGGCCGGCCACTGAGGGAGAAAATGGTGTACATGTCTGTGGGAGATGGTCATCACACTCAGAGTGATGGTCAGTCAGTATCTGTATCAATAAAGCATTTTTAAAGAGCTCATATCCTGCATTGTTCAGTGTTTCCATCTCTTACACTTAAACAGGCTGTTTTCGTTAAAGAGACCGATATGTAAATGAGCTCTGTTCTGATTGGCTGTCGTCTATTGTGCCTCACTCAGATGGGCTGATTCGCTCTGTCGTGCTGTGTTTCCCTGGTTTTAATGGAACTGTGGAATAAATGTTCTGGTAAACCGTTTAGGAGGTCCCTCTTTCTGCTGAGCTGTGTACAGAGGTGTCTTTTTGATGAAGTTCCTCTGTCTGACGTTTATATGATGTGTGTGTGTTTATCAGGAAGTTCTAAGCCCTCTGATGAGGTGTATATGGAGGTGGTCGTCGGTGGGGAGGAGCCAGTTCCTCACGACCGGCCGTACGACAGCACCGCACTCAGCAAGGACTTCATGCCTGTGGCCTGGGCCGCCGCCTACGGTCAGACACTCACACACAAACTGAGTTTCCTCTACATCCTGTACACGTTTATACGAGTTCATGCAGGATTGAGAGCTTCACAGTCTATAATGGATCAAAGAATAATTTGTGTGGACTCACTGAGCACTTTATTAAACCACCTACCACTGTCCACTTTATCAGCTCCACTGACCACACAGTTTCACTCTGTAGTTCTACAGTTACAGACTGTAGTCCATCTGTTTCTCTGATACTTTGTTACCCTGTTCTTCAGTGGTCAGGACCCCCATGGACCTTCACAGAGCAGGTAGTTGGGCGGTGGGACATTCTCAGCACTGCAGTAACACTGACATGGTGGTGGTGTGTTAGTGTGTGTTGTGCTGGTGTGAGTGGATCAGACACAGCAGTGCTGCTGGAGTTTTTAAACACTGTGTCCACTCACTGTCCACTCTATTAGACACTCCTACCTTGTAAAGTCAGAGACGATAGCTCATCTGCTGCTGCACAGTTTGTGTTGGTCATCCTCTAGTCCTTCATCAGTGGCCAGAGGACGCTGCCCACAGGACATTGCCTGCTTCAGAAGTATATGGTTCTATATAGAACATTTTTGAAAAGGGTTCCGTATAGCGTCATATATATCTTCTATTTTTACAAACAAGAAGAACCCTTTTTGGTCCTATATAGAACCATATACAACACGTTCTCCATCAATCTGAAGAACCATTTCACCATGCAGAGAACCAATTAAGCATGCAGATGGTTCCATATAGAACTCATGGTTCTAAACAGAATCATTCCCTTTACTAAAGAAACCTTGAAGAGCCATGTTTTTTGAGAGCGAATACATCCTTGTAAGTTTCAGTGTGAGTGGGTGGGGCTAAACTGCTGTAGGCTAAATAGGCAGATATATGTAAATGCATTGGTTTTTATGACATCACATAAAACATTATACACATTAAAAGATAACTTCCTGTATTACAGTCTGTCAGAGTGACTGTGTGGATCATATGAACATTATAGAGCTTTTTAAATGAAACAGTAGAAGCCATATCGCCCCCTACACTTCCTGTAGTGTATTACAGTCTGTCAGAGTGACGGTGTGGATCATATGAACATTATAGAGCTTTTTAAATGAAACAGTAGAAGCCATATCGCCCCCTACACTTCCTGTAGTGTATTACAGTCTGTCAGAATGACTGTGTGGATCATATGAACATTATAGAGGAGTCTTGATTTCACTGCATCATTTCTGTCATAAATGTAACGCAGTTTGTGTTGTGTTGTAGGAGCAGATGATCATGAGGGCTGTGAGAACAGAAACGGTGCTGCGAGTGCTTTGCTGCACATAGACGAGTCCGATGCTCTGGATAAACTGAACCGACAGCACGGAAAGAACCGGAGACGAGCGGAACCAAGACAGGTGCAGACAGGTATGCATCAAAACGTGTTTAACTAATGGCTTTGTTTTCAATTTAAAGCGCTTTAGTTTCACTTTTAACAAACAGGCATTTCTTCCTTATTTTATTTTTAGAAAGGCATCTTTATTAAGCTAATTTTAATAACACATACCCACTTTATCTTTAGTCTCCTATTTAACCTTTTTATTTTGCGTATTTGGACTTTATATTTCCAATTATTATCATTTTAGCATTTTTATTCCATTTCTTTTGCTCTTTTTTCCTTTTTTTTTGTTTTCTATGTTTTAATTTTAATTTTTTACTCTGAAGCACTTTAAACTTGCCTGTAAATTTCTTTTTTTTCATTGTGCATTGTTTCATTTACAGTATTTTGTTCTATATATATGCATTTTTTCTTGATATTTTTTTTTTAATGTATGAAAGGTGCTACATCAATACAGCCGGTTATATTATTGTTATTGCTGTTGTTACTATTATTAGTAGTAATAGTAGTGGTATGATTATTATGCTTTTTCATTTTACTTCATCTTGTTCCTCTTCCTTTTTTCATATTATCTCTTCCAGCGATCATTATTGGTCCGTACGGTCAGCCGCTGACCGTCTACCCCTGCATGCTGTGTGGCAAGAAGTTCAAGTCTCGCGGTTTCCTGAAGCGCCACACCCGAAACCACCACCAGGACGTCCTGACCCGCAAGAAGTACCAGTGCACGGACTGCGACTTCACCACCAACAAGAAGGCCAGCCTGCACAACCACATGGAGGTCCACGCCCTCAGCACCAAGGCGCCGTTCGAGTGTGAGACGTGCGGGAAAGACTTCCACCAGCAGGCGGCGCTGTTTTCCCACCGGCTCCAGCACCACCACCGCGAACAGAAACCTCCGGCGTCCGTCGCCTCTCCGCCGCCCCCTGCCGGCGCCACCACGAAAATGCACAAGTGCAAGTTTTGCGAGTACGAGACGGCGGAGCAGGGCTTGCTGAATCGCCACCTGCTGGCCGTCCACAGCAAAAGCTTTCCGCACATTTGCGTGGAGTGCGGTAAGGGTTTCAGACACCCGTCGGAGCTCAAGAAGCACATGCGCACGCACACGGGCGAGAAGCCCTACTCGTGCATGTACTGCGACTACAAGTCGGCCGACTCGTCCAACCTGAAGACGCATGTGAAGACGAAACACAGCCGTGAGCTTCCGTTCCGGTGCGAGCGCTGCGGCCAGACTTTCGGCGAGGAGGACGAGCTAACGCAGCACTCCGCCACGCACGAGGAAGGCCGCGGCAACCACCAGTGCGGCCACTGTGAGCACCGCAGCTCGAACTCCAGCGACCTCAAGCGCCACGTCATCTCCGTACACACTAAAGACTACCCTCACAAGTGCGCGGTGTGCGGAAAGGGCTTCCATCGTCCATCGGAGCTTAAAAAGCACTCGGCGTCCCACAAGGCCAAGAAAATGCACCAGTGCCGCCACTGCAACTTTAAAATCGCAGATCCGTTCGTGCTTAGCCGCCACATTCTGTCGGTCCACACTAAAGAACAGCAACAACAACAGTCACCACCACAATCGCCACAACAACCACAGCCGCCACCACCACAACAGCAGCAACAGCAGCCTTCAATACAAACCCCTTCACCGCCGGTGCCGTCGCAGGAGAAAATCGCCCCCAAGAGGACTATAGGTGCGGCGCAGCTAGCGCTAGGTGGCGCGGCTATGATTAAAAAGGTTGTGGGTGGGAAGGGGCCGCGAGAGCGGCGGGTCTATCAGTGTCAGTACTGTGATTACAGCACTGGAGATGCTTCTGGCTTCAAAAGACACGTCATCTCCATCCACACCAAGGACTACCCGCACCGCTGCCAGTTCTGCTCCAAGGGCTTCCGGAGGCCCTCCGAGAAGAACCAGCACATCATGCGCCACCACAAAGACATGGTGCCGGCTGAGTGAAGCCGGACTCTTCATCACCTTCATGCCGCTCCCACCCCCTCCTCCCGGCCGTGCCTCTTAATTCCTCTCCACTTGCTTCCATTATAATGCTAAATGGCCAATGACTCACTAGTGACATCACTCTCAACTCGTGGCAAACCTCTGCACAAGGTCGCCCGTTAAAGGCGGTAGTTTTGGCAAAGATCAGTTTCACATGTTTAGTGTCGGAATGTGGCGCTACAGGGCTAATGTAACCAGCAAGTAATGGCCTTAGCATCACCTGCATGCCAAAGAAACTCGCTTTTGTGGTTTCTGACTATCTACAACCATGGAGTAAAGAACATTAGCATAGCTAAAAACAGTAGCAGCTTCCATTAATGATGCTAACTTCTGTTGTTGCTGTTTAGCTACATTAGCCTCGTAGTTCCACCAGAGCCGGTTTATGAGGAGCCTGGCCTCTTCTTATTTCCACCATTATATCAAAAACAGGACTGCAAAACAGCAGAGGGCGCCCACGAGTGAGTCCTCAGTGAATGGGAGTGAATGGAGCTAAACAGCTAAAAATGAAAAGTTAAATAGTTTCTAATCACTGAACCAGAACTTTCCTTTAGTTTTAGAAAGTTGAAGGATGGATTTCACTAAAAAAGCAAAGAAATCTCACCTGTATGTTTCATTTTTACCACAGAAAACTGGTTTTGGGCAGCAGGACGCTAACATTACTGCTACTGAGTGCTGATTGGTTGGTGAGCGGAGCAGCTCATTGGCTGTTTGCACTCACTGACGTTTTAAACTCCTATAACTCGAGTTTAAAAGCTCTTAAAAACATAACAGCAGTGTTAAAATGTTTTATGCTGATCAGGAAATGAATGAATTCTTTTACATTAAAAATGTTTCAGCATTTATAAACTATGATTTTGCTAAAATGCTCCATCTTAACCCATTCATTTTGCACTTGCTCAGTAGCGCCCTCTAGCGTTTGAGAAACCCAGACATTACAGAGTGGTAATTCTCCTCTCTACAAGTTCTCTGGCTCCAGGGCTAAAACTAAAGAAGACACCAAACATGTCTTGGCTGAACATCTACCTATGAGTGAGGGATTTGGGGGAGGGCGCTGTCTAAATCAGATTTTTTGCCAAACTATCGCTTTAACAGGGCCTGTTGTGAACAACTCAGTGTGTGTATGTGGGTCAGTATGTGCTGGTATATTTGTTGTTGAAACAGTCAGACTGTTCTCGGACGTTTTTGTGGTTGTTTTGTTTTTTCTTTTGTAAGAAATCATAAAGAACTCAGCTCTAAACCGCAGACACTCAGACACTGAAATAAGGTGCCATAATTTCAAAGCAACTAAGCAAAGTAGGACAGTATCCATGCAGATCAGGACTGTAATGCAGAGATTAAAGGCTAAAAAGTGATTTTAGTGGTGAGTCACCTGAAACTGTAAGTCTAAATATAGGCTTAATTCATTCAGGAAGCCGGTCTTAAGTGTTTAAATTTCTGACCATTATTCTGTTTTTCACAAAACATGACAATGCAGTAGTGTCACACTGAAGAACTGCTGTGAAAAATTATAACACAATGCTTATTATTCAACGTTTCACACTCTGTGCTGCACCGAATTCACTTAAACAGGACTTATTAGGTTCTTTTCGATCGGCGTGCATTTGGTCGCTGTTCTAAGTACTGATGATTTCCAGGATATACTCAGAAATGCATATTGTTTATCACCTTAAGGAAATATATTTCAATAACAAAAAAAACATAGCTTGTATCTTTGAAATGGTAATTATAGGAGAAAGTACAGATTCTTAACATCTGTTAATATGCTGCTTTCAAATGGTTTAAAAAGGTGAGATGGGAGTATAATGTCTATGACAGTGACAATATTATTATTATTATTATTATTAATAATAATAATAATAATTTTAATCCAGATAGGCCCTTTTTTCGTATGTCAAGTTCACTTCTTCTTGTTATGTGATCTTTTCCTTAAAGTCCAAACAGGAAACGGGCAGATTTCATAATTTCTTTTCCAATTCTTTCAGCATTTCTCTCAATTCTGATATTCGTAGTGATAAAGCAACTTAACCAGGTCATCCATGGACGATACCTGGTCCAGACGTTTGCATCTGATTGGCTAAAAAGAGTAACCTGTTTCAATTCACTGCAAAAATAGCTAAATTAAATCTAGTCCATATATCTGAAATTTCCCATTTCTATACATTATCTACTTATTTTAGGTATTTTTATTCAGTAAAAGTTTCTCACTGTACTGGCAAATCATTTTGCTGGTTTCAAGCACAATTTTTAAAACAAGCAAAACTGTCAATATAGTGAGATAATAATCTTAATAGGGAAAATAATCTTAAATGAAGCTTACAGCAATCTCAACAGGAGGAATATTAGATTTATTGACTATATTTGAGATAATTGTACTTGATGGTACCATATTTTGCAGTGTGGATCTGTAAACGTACCCTGACTGACGAAAGAGCTGTACAGAGCCAGGCTGGCTGGTTGTGGATTCACTGTCCTACTTTATCAATACAAGTTCAGCCTTAATCTCCACACATGCTGCCTCTGACCACCTGCAGTGGACGTTCAGAGGGTTCTCCAGTATCTCCAACAGTGTTCCTCAAACTTGGTTCTATATTAAATGCATAGTTTAGCCAAACAGAGCCACCAGTTAGCGTCGTGTAAATGATGCTAATTGTTGCCTCCTCACACTTCCTTGGTTCTTCAAGGGTTCCTTTCTAAACAAAGGGATGGTTCTGTTTAGAACCACGAGTTCTTAAACATTTTTTGCATGGTGAAATGGTTCTTCAGGTTGATGGAGAATTTTTTGGTTGGTGGATTTTTTCAAAATGGAACCAAAAAGGGTTCTTCTATTGTGTCCGATGCCAAGCTTTTAGCAATAAAAGAACACTTTTTGGTGCTACATAGAACCATTTTCAAAAAGCTTCTATATAGAGCCGCATTCTCCATCAATCTGAAGAGCCATTTCACCATGCAAAGAACCATTTAAGCATATTCAGAACCACTGCCTTTACTGCAGAACCCTTAAAGAACCATCTTTAGTGTGTAGTTTCTGTTCACTGTTAGCCACGTTAGCATGTTTGTTAGGCCTGTATTTTGTATGTTGTGTTGTTCCCCATCAGGATCGATAATCAGTTGCCACCCCAGCTACTTCTGCTAATTGCTACTAATAACTTCTGGCACTTTACCGGTAATTTGAGAACTCGCCAGGTGATCAGGAAGTGCGCGAGGTGTGAGGCTGTCGAAGATGAAAAGGTTTTCTGAACTCTCTCACCCATGATGCTTTGCGCTTGCTGGATACTCTCTATGTGGGTGTTTAAAAAGCGCTGAGTGGTTAGCATGCTAATGCTAACATCATGATCGGAGGCTACGGCAGAGCCGATTAATGAGGAGCCTGGCCACTCCCTCTTCCTCCCGTTATATCAAAACAGGACTGCCAAACAGCAGGGGGCGCCCACGAGTGAGTCCTCAATGAATGGGAGTGAATGGTTCAACGGCTAAAAACGGAAAGTTAAAATAGTTTCTAATCACTGAACCAGAACTTTCCTTTAGTTTTAGACAGTAGAAGTAGAGTTTCACTAAAAAAACACAGAAATCTCTCCTGTGTGTTTCTTTTACTACAGCAAACGGGTTTTGGGCAGCATGAGGCGGCATTACTGCTACTGAGTGCTGATTGGTTAGCATTACTGCTAGAGCGTGATGATTGGTTGGCGAGCGGAGCAGCTCATTGGCTGTTCGCGCTCGCTGACGTCATGAATGTACATGAGGCGCCGTTTTAAACTCCTGTAACTCGAGTTTAAAAGCTCTTAAAAATATAACAGCAGTGTTAAAATGTTTTATGCTGCTCTGTGTTCAGGAAATGAATGAATTCTATTACATTAAAATGTTTAATCATTTATAAACTATGGTTTTGCTCAAATGCTCCATATCAACCCATTCATTTTGGACTCACTCGGCAGCGCCCTCTAGCGTCTGAGAAACCCAGAAGACACTGTAGAGGGTAATTCTCCTCTCTACAAGTTCTCTGGCTACGGCGCGTCATTTAGCTTTGTGCTCGGATGAGATTATGCTAACTGGTCTAGATAGGGTTGAGTTCATTGTTAACCGTGTTAGCGTTAGCATAGCTTTCACGTTAACTTTAACAGGCGCGGATGTTTGTTTAGACCGTTTTCTGTTGTTTACGGTCTCAGATTGTGTTTGTCACCGTCTGTTCACGTCAGTGTTGGGGGATTAGCCAGTTCACGCTAATCTAAGGCGAGTTATACAGGTTAACATATTATGCTGGCATAAAACATCATCCTGGGTCACTGCAGGGGGCATCTCTGCAGAGCATCATGGGTCAGAGAAGCCTTTTTCTCAGTTTCTGTTTGTTTTTGGTTTGGTTTTTTTCCTTTGTGGTCAGAGTCTGTAACGGCTGATTATTATGTTTTATGAATTATGTCTGATGCACATGACCGAGCGTCTGAAACGAACTCCATTATGGTGCCAAACACACCTGCACGGTCAGTGTTTGTGTGTTTTTTCTTAGAACCTGTTGGTCACCAACCTCAGTATCACCGTCAACACTAGCTCGCCTCATTGAACAGTATCCACATCGCACAGTGTGCAGCAACGAACCACTTACACACGACTCATATCTGTGTGTGTGTGTGTGTGTGTGTGTGTGTGTGTAGAAGACACGCTGAACGCATGCTTTCCTTTGTCGCTGATACCCCACCTCTCGGAGGGACCCCCGTTACCATGGCGACGGTACCAGCTGGCTGGTTTTTGCGGGCAGAAGTGCCAGCGTTTGGCCTGATGTAGTACCCTGTGTGTGCTTGAGTGTTTAAAGGGATTAAAAAATGCTAATTTGGCCTAAAATTGAATGGAACGTCCCCTCCGAGCCATGTTAGCAGGGTTCGCAGACTTCTCCTTTACAATGAAATTGTCTGTATTTTCATTGGATAATGTGGCTAAAAATGCTAATTTGGCCAAAAGTGAATGGAATCGCCTGCTCATTGTTAGCCACGTTAGCCGGTTTCTGTACGCGCTGTGTCCTGTGTGGAAAATTGCTCTGTAAAACTTTCTGATGGCACTTTCAGGAGCGCACAACATGAACTTTAAGGAAAACATGGTTGGCCAACAGTTTTTTTTTGTCCTTTGATCTTAATGCGGATAAATCCATGTTCTTTGTGAATTCAGATCACGGAGCTCTTGTGATTCTGTCACATCAGCGTCCACTGTGTGATCGGATGAAGGCCGGATAAAGCACTGAGTTACTTGTGTGACACCATTGGTCAATGGCGTAGTGTCCATCTCGATTTGATCAATGCCATTTCCCCCCCCCGCGAAGCCCCTCCCACCCCTGTGGTCATTTTATAGTAAGATTATTTATTTGGTCACCATTTAAACTTTGTTGTATAGTTCAGTGTAACTTGGATTCTATGGGACTGTAACTTATTGTTTTGTACACACATCTGTAAAGAGAGAACGAAGATGTAAACACTTCTTAAAAACGGATCAGAACTTTGTGTTGTCATGGGTGTATCTTGACATTTGTTTAAGAAAAAAAAGAGTTAAAAAGGAAATAAAAGGCAAAGTATTTTCCTGCATTTTTAGTCTCGTTCTTACGGTGAGCCATGCTCTGTGCCGGATCTGTGGTCCTATTTCTGTCTATTTATTTGGTGTGTAAGACCCCAGATATCAAGCCAGTGGACCAATATATGGTTGCTAAGGAGGCCCCCCACTGACTGGTCCACCCTCGGACCACCCAGATTACTGTCCTGCATACAAGCTCTATCTAGTTTTTAATCTGCTCAAACAGATTTTAAATGCACAGAGACTTTTATTTTAGAAAATAAACTGAGACAAATATCACAAACAACTGAGAGAAAATAAAAGGCCTAAAATAAAATGATTTTGTAGAAAATGTTGTTGCTGTGAATATTATTTACTAAACTAATTTACAAAGTGTAACTAAAGGAAAGATGAAAAAATCAGTAAATTGGACTGTGAGTGTAAAATGAGTGGTGATAAGTGGAATTTTGTCCACTATGCTGCTTAAACGCCGGTCGGCTGCCCAGACAATGCTGAGCAAAATGCCAGTGGACTGCCAGCTTTGCCATCAGTGGGCCGACAGTGGTCCACTATCCTCTTATTATCATGGACAGCACCATAGATACATACCTAGATGCTGCGTTGGGTCCAGTCAAGCACGTCAACAGCGCTGCCATTTTGGGGCGGTCAACATCGCTGCTGGACTGCATTCAGTACCATTACAGAGCGGCAGTTTAATAAAGATACTGTCCAAAATTACACTATTTCAGGAATATCACTCTCAGAAAGAGGGACAGGATTATATAACGGAGGGAACGCAGTGATCCACACTCATGTCTGTGTGATGTGTGTTGTCTGTGTGGTGTTTGTGTAGATATGGCCGTGTGGTTAATGAGGCACAGAGAACCTGTTGATGTGATTGTTTTTCCTCTGGTTTTATTTGAAGCTCATTTCATTTAATAGTCTATTCAGGATCTTAACTTTATGTAGTAGTTATTTATTTACAGTGATGGTTAAAGCTTTGTAGCGGTAAATTACAGCATTCCTTAACCCGTGTAGATATTCATAAGATTAACATTAGACCTTCTTACACAAAGCTGAAGTCAGCTTATTATTCGCCAGCTTCTTGTCTGATTGTGTTTCTCGCGCTAAACTCGGTTTTTAATGTCAGGTCCAGACTGAATACTCTCCTGCTGGTCTGGACGGATAATTATCACGATCAGTTATTAAAGTAATAAAAGCTACCGAGAGCAGATCCGAGCAGCCTGGATTAATCTGTGTCTGAGGATTATAACTAAACAGATTTGGTGAAAATCGGTTGAGTAATAAGGAAGTTGTGGCTGATTTAATCCTGAGACTCTTCGTCTCTCAGCAAGTGAATTTGTTCACAAGCGGGTCTTGACCTCTCCAGCATGGCGGACGCACAGACACATCGCCTCAGCATCCAGGTATGGATCTCTATGGCCAGCACATCAGATCAGGGCTGACATTAGCGTGTGGGTGTGTCTGCTCAAGGCTAACACTGTAATAGTCCACTGTAGTCCTGCGTCATTCTGTAGTCCTCGTTAAGCCCATATTAGGAGCTCCGGGTCTGAGCTCCATTTCTCTATGGCCAGAATGAATAGGGTTTTCAAAAGGCGCCTCTAGCGCCCCCTGTGTTAAATAAACGTGTTCAGAAACTGATACGTTCTGTCCTGTGAACATTCTTCTCCCGAACATCACTGGTTCCTCTGAATTACGAGGTCGTTAAAGAGTCTTAATGCTAATACTTAATGCTAATATTGCTACATGCGAGCTAAAGCTACTGCGCATCAATTTGATGTCACTAAGCTACACTAAACTCAGGCCGGCTGTGGCGGAGCTCTGACAAGCTGTGCTACCTTATCAAAATGTTCTACCATAGCGCAGAATTACAGGTAAACCTGTTAATAAAACCTCTAGGTGGGATATTTTGAGGCTAAAACTACTTAACTATCAAAATACTCCCCGTGTTAAACTACGAGGCTGAATTCAGCTTCTTTTTTTCACAGCTTCTTGTTCGAATGTTCCCGTTCCACCTTAAATGGTGCAGCAGCTGTGATTAGCTATCACAAAAATCAGCAAACGAGACAAAATACTAACCTGTCGGTTCTGAGAAACAGCAATAATAAGTTAATGTCACTCAGCTGTTCAGCGGAAATAGAGAAACCTGCTCATATCAGGCCTTTCAGCCCTCCATGAAGCTGAATCAGCTTCTTTTTCTCCGGCTGCTTGTTCAGATCTTCCTGTTCCACCTTAAATGGTGCAGCAGCTCAGAATTAAAAAGAAGTTGAAAGTAAAGGTGAAATGTGTCTAAGTGTCAAAACACTTCATGACCAAAGGGGTAAAGTGAGGTCATTTTTATTTTGGCTGTCCAGAAATGAGGCATTTTACTGAAAATAAGATAAAAATATAAAAAAATAAAAAACGAGGACTTTTGTATTAAAAAGTGTATCTCAGTAAAATGACGTAGTCCATATCAATGTCCTGTAAAACATGTATACTTTAAAATGTTGATTTAAACATGTTACGAAGTGTTATGAAGTGTGTAAGTTGTTATGGGTGTGTTATGTAGAAGCCCTTCAACTAAAGTGTTGCTGTTTTTTTTTTCTTGCGGTTTGCTTTTCTTATAAAAGTGGATTTATCCTCTAATTATAAGTGTCAAAACACATAACCACAGTTGCACAATCAGTCATAAGCTCAAACCCGCCGGCACACAGACTCACCACAGCCCCATCCTGAGGAGTTTCACCTCCTCTACGCAACACTGTTGTGTAACAGCTGTGATGAACCCAGACACAGGGTTTAAAACTCCAGCAGCACCGCTGTGTCTGATCCACTCAGACCAGCGCAACACACACTAACACACCTCCACCACGTCAGTGTTACTGCAGTGCTGAGAATGACCCACCACCCAAATAGTACCTGCTCTGTGAGGGTCCATGGGGGTCCTGACCACTGAAGAACACGGTAACAGGGTAAGTATCAGAGAAACAGATGGACTACAGTCTGTAACTGTAGAACTACAGAGTGCTCTGCTAAGCAGACGCGCTGTTACTGCACTGAAAAATGACTGTGCTGTACAGTATTTACTGTTTTATTTTTTATTTGGGGAATATCTTTATTTACCACTTATTTTGGGGAATGCTGCTCTTTTATTTGAGGAATATTGTATAACGTATTTGGTAAATATGTCTCATTTTATTTGGAAATATTTCTCAATAATTTTGAAGCAGTTTCCTCATTTATTTTTCACTTATTTGGGGAATATTATTTTTTATATATGAGAATATTTTCATGTATTCTTTTGAGCTATGTACTATATATTTTTCATTTATTTGGGAAATATTTATTTAATTTTAAAGAGGATATTTCTTTTTTTAGCTATTTTCAATTCATTTTTAATTTATTTGGGATTTTTTTTATTTGAGGGGCTATTCCTCATTTATGGCTTATTTCTATGAGAAATATTGCTTTTTTCTTTTATTTGACATTATTTCCCATTTGTTTGGGCGTATTTCTCATTCATTATAGCCCATGAGTTCACGCTCAGTGTGTGTGTGTGTGTGTGTGTGCACTGTATGGTAACGTACAGTGATCATACATTAATTTCAGATTTAGAAACTCCAGTCAGCGTGTTTACTGGCTGGTTCAGTGTTGTTTTCGTCTGTAACGGTGATGATTGTTTGTAAACAGTGATAATAAACAGTGCAGAGTGATGAAGAGTCTGAGAGTGAGGAGTGAACATCACTCCAGACTGAGTTTATTAGAGCACAGAGGAGCAGTGCATAGTCACAGCCAGTGGAGGGCGCTGTTGTTAAAGGCTGAAAGCAGCAGCAGCAGAGATAATCATAATAATCATAATAATGATGATGACGTTCCAGCTTCAGCAGAATCTGTCAGAGCGGGTTAATGTGGAGTGTCAGCAGTTTAAGAGCACTGACCTGCAGAGAGACGGAGACACACATCATTCAGAATGTTATAACCACACACACACCTACACCTACACACACACACACACACACACACACACCTACACACACACACCTACACCTACACACACACCTACACCTACACACACACACACACACACACACACACACACACACACACACACACACACACTCTCACCTACACCTATACACACACCTACACCTATACACACACACACACCTATACACACACACACCTACACACACCTACACACACACACACACACACACACACCTACACCTATACACACACACACACACACACACACACACACACCTACACCTATACACACACACACACACACACACACACCTACACACACACACACACACACACCTACACACACACACACCTACACACACCTACACACACACACACACACACCTACACCTATACACACACACACACACACACACACACACACCTACACCTATACACACACACACACACACACACACACCTACACACACACACACACACACACCTACACACACACACACACCTACACACACACACACCTACACCTACACACACACACACACACACACACACACACACACACACCTACACACACACACACACACACACACACCTATACACACACACACCTACACGCACACACACACACACACCCCCTACACTTACACACACACACACACACACACACACACACCCCTACACCTACACACACACACACCTATATACACACACCTACACACACACACCTACACACACACACACACACACACCTACACCTACACACACACACACACACCTACACCTATACACACACACACACACACACCTATATACACACACACACACACACACACGTAAATATATGTATATAAAGCACTGTGCGAAAGTTTTAGACACCTGGGATTGTTTAAAGCTTCATGTGATTTAAGTGTTTATTACTCAGATTTATTTTATTTACTCTTTCTCTCACACACTGACCGTTTTTGGGCAGGATGGCGATGTTCTCCTTCAGGATTCCCTGCTCCAGAGAGAACTGAGTGAACTTATCTAGAACAGCCTGACTCGGATCCTGAGTGCGGCCTGAAAAAGAAACAGCGGTATGAACTCACGCTGAGCAGCTGAACACACAGACACAGCGGTGCGTGTTCTCTCTGACACAGCACGGCAGATACAGCGCTGAATACGGCTGACTGAAATAGGCCTGGATGTACAGGATGACATTACAGATAGTAATAACAACAATAGACAGTGTTATTAACTTAATATGAACAGGGTAGAACTCATCAAAGCCAAAAGCAATCGTTTAGTATGCAGCATGTTACAGTAAACCCACACTCATAAAAAAGAGGGTTCTTCAAGGGTTCTTTAGTAAAGACAACAGTTCTATATAGAACCATGAACACTCAAAGAACCCTTTGCATGCTTAAATCGTCCTCTGCTTGGTGAAATGGTTCTTCAGATTGATGGAGGATGTGTTTATATGGTTCTATACAGCACCAAAAAGGGTCCTAAGCTTAACATCGTACACAAAAGCAGAACCCTTTTTGGTGCTTCTATACAGAACCATATACAGCACATTCTCCAACAATCTGAAGAACCATTTCACCATGCAGAGAACCATTTAGGCACGCAGTGCTCATGGTTGTATGTATATCCATTATCTTTACTAAAGAACCCTTGAAGAATCTTCTTGCTCTGGATCCAAAAAGCTGCTCAGCTACTCACTAAACTGTAATTTCTACACTGTAATGATGGAAAATGTGCCTGAAATCTGTGATAAAAGAGGTCCTTTCTTACTGTAGAGCTTGTTGAGGATGTAGGAGGATCCAGCCTTGGTCTTGATGGTGTGAACGAGGGAGTATTCGTCATACTTCACATCCACCACGCGCATGTCATTTTCGTTGTCCCAATCTAATAAAAAGAGAGAGAGATTTATTAAGAGTGAATAAAACGAGCTTCATTAGAATGTATCCATTATTTTCAATAACTCAATAATTCATGGTGTTAATGCCCGTGAGTGGCTGTCCAGCGTGGTCTGCTGAAGGTGCTGAAGGTTTCGCTTTAAAAGACGTTTAAGTACTATAATAATATAAATGGTACAAAATAACATATAAATATAAATAAAATATAGTTACATTATCTTATATTTAAAGTCAAGAACATCTTTTTTCCCAAGAGTAAAGAGAAAGAAAAACAAAACAGAGGTTTGAGGGGTCCGGTGTGGTTTCCTTGAATGAAATATGAATTTTCTGAGAGATCAAACGCCCTCACGCCGGGTGACCATCTTCTTTTTTTATGTTTTCATTTTTGATGGGTGACGTTCACTTCAGCCAGTATATGACTGGAATTTGTAAAAATATACAGCTGTAAACTACAAAAATGGTGAAAACAGTCTAGATCAATGTATGTCGCTGTTGTCGGAACAAAACCTCGTATCTCCAAAATGGTAACTTTGCAGGAGAAGGAAAAAACATCCCTTACTTTTAATGTAAGTCAATGGAACCAGACGTCTTTCCAAGTCATTTTGGGTCGTTTCTTTTGATCCATTCATCATGAAATTTACATACAATGTAAAGAGCAACAGACACTTTTAAATTATCAAAAACAGAAAAATGGAGATACGAGTTTTTGTTCCGACAGACGCTGGGTTAAAGTGTCCAGATACTTTCTGGGGACCACTGTAACACTGCCAGGACAAGCTAAGCATGTTTTGTGGAGCAAACTGAGTCGCACTGAGAAACTCTGGGATTGATAAAGCCATACAGTCTGTGAGCTGACCAGCTGTGAATTGGCCACCAGCTTTGTTTCTGTGTGTGTTCGTGTTCTGCATACTCACGCTGGCTGTGGAATGTGAATTTCCCAGGAATGTCCGTCTTTTTTGCCAGATGGCTCATCGTCCAGCAGCTGCCGTCAGGCCTGCACACAGATTTTTAGCATTTAAGCAACTACTGGAACATTCGCTATTGAAGCAGAGAGCTTTAAAAGTGATAGTTTGACCAAAAATGTACCCAGATTACCCCCCCCCTCCCCCCAATTTCATTGTTCATGAAATTGACACACAATGTAAAGGGACACAGGCACTTTCAAAATATGTCCGTTCAGTCTCTCTAGTAGTCTTGATTCTGTGGTTTCTGACTCTGTGACTCACTGTGATCTATAAACTTGGACTAAAGTACGTTAGCAAAGCTAAACACAGCAGCAGCAGGAAGTGTTTGACTGACTGAGTGGAGCCGTACTTGAGGCTGGAGTAGTCCATCTCCAGGTCACCGTTGGGCTGTGGGGTCAGAGTGGCCGTCCCCATCTTCATGCTTGCCTTATGGCTCACAAACCAGTCTGCGTTGGTGGCGAAGCCGACCAGGTACCACGTTCCTCTGACCTGGAGTAGAAACAAAGCCTTAACAACCACCTGGAGCTGACCACATGTTTCTGAGTGATGATTATGTGCAGATTGTTTTTTTCAAGTCAAGAGGCTTTTATTGTCATTCCATCTATGTACAGTACACAGTGGAGTGAAACTGCATTCCTCCAGACGCAACACGGTGCAGCATGGAACAACAGACAGTACCAAGTGCAAACGTGCAGACGTGAGTGTGCAAAAAGAATTAGACTAGAAACAACACAATAAATACGATAAATCAAACAGACATTAGACACGGTAAACAGACAGGACAGTGCAGCGCCGACACAGCACTCATTTCTGGACACGAGGGAGGGTTCAAAGATTATTTAACATGCTGTGATCTGTGAGTTACACAGTCAGATAACATATGTGAGCACAGCAGTTACTGAGGCAGTACTTGAGTAAACAGTGTAAACACAGTGTTAGCAGCAACCAGAGTAGAGCATCAAAAAAGGAGTGTATGTCTGTGTCTGTGTGTGTGTGTGTGTGTGTGTCTGTGTGAGTGTGAGTGTGAGGGGGTATTAACAAAAAATATATAAACAAAAATACAGAAATACAGTCATAAAATACACTTTATTCTAGGAGCAAAACATAGTAACCTCATATTAATCAATCTAATGTAAAAATATATATTTTTAAAAAAAAAACTTAAATAATTTCCTTGAGAATTTAATATGATGAGATGTTTCAGTTCATTTCTTGTAAGAACATCAGGTTGCATTGTCTGTCATTGTCATTATTTAGTACATATTTATACGTATTTTAAGTTTAGCATTGCTTTATATTCTATTATTATAGAATGGAAAACAATGGTAAACATAAATGGTAAACATATTATTTTACAGGATACTTTTAAAAATACTTAATGTAAATGTATAATATTACAAACAATAAAATGTAAAACTATTGTTTTATACTGTGTTTATTAAAGCAATAAGCCAGGAGAGGAAAATAATTTGTTATTATTGATAATATTTGACATAAACAAGTATTCCGCCAAGAAATGTAGTTCCATTACAGTGCGGTATGTTGCAGAGCAATCATGGACCACTGAATAGCCCGCTCATCACTGTATATTGGGGTCATTTTATAATTGTGTCGTATAATAATGAACATGTGATATCACAGCACTGTTTAATGCAGAAACTTTCGCTTTATTAGTACTTTTCGGTCACCAAATTACCACCGTGTCTTATTTAGCACCAATCCAGCGGCGCCCTCTTCTCACACTGGGGCTGAATCTCAAACAGCTCCCTGCTCCCTACATAGTGCACTACGTAGGAGTTTAAATACTGGATCCTGCAGCCCAACAGAGCAAAATACAGCTAAGAAACAGTCATTTGGGACTCAGACACATCCACACTCGATACATGATGCACTGTTTGACTGTAGAGGCTAGAATTTCTAAACTTTCATAGCTAGAACACTATTTAGGGAGGACGGAGCCGTTTGGGATTCAGCCTGGGTTTGACGCGACTTCTGACTGAAACACGAACATTTGAAGCGTGTAAGACGTTCAAGTGACATTTCTAGGCTTTTATATTGCCGTTTTTCAGCGAATCATATCGTGAGCCCTTTAATTCAAGCCTGTGATATTAATGTTGGAGTTGTTTAGGCTGTTGTCTATCTTTTAGCCTGTTAGCTAGCTGACCAGCCTGGTTCTAGATAAGAAAGTCTATAATAAGTATATTACTAATACTTCATCAGTTCACTCGGTGCTCCATGCCAGCAGCATTAGAGTCAGAGATTATTCATTAACAGCACAAGGGAGTTTTCCTTCTGTGGCGCAGTGATACAGAATTCAGTCACTGTGATGCGGTCATACACAGCTCAGCCAATCAGGTTTCAGGACCGGAACTATCCGTTTGATAATCAAAATAATAGAACGGATTAAATACACATCTGTCAGTTAAAAAACATTTTATCATTAATTATTTCATAATCTTTGCTTGTGCACTGTACTGAGGAACTGACCTTCTGTTCCTTATTTAAATCAATAATTTTAGTCAATAAAGCTGATCAGCTCGCTCTTCTTACCTTCAGCAGGTCGAAGTCGGCCTGAGGCATCACGTCGGCCCTCACGGCCAGAGCACACAGGAAAACTCCCAGCATTCCCAGCATGGTGGTCGCCATGGCTACTGCGGAGCGAGTCTCAGAGTCAGCGCGTGTGGAGGTTGAGGGTGAGTTGTGTCCGAGCGCTGGCGTGTTTATATAGTGTAGAGACCCCCCCACAAACACCCGCCCCCCCCCGCATTACACAAACACGCACGTGTGCAGCTCCAAACCCCGTAATCACGGTTACACAACGGAGCGGCGCCGCTGCAGCCTGGCTGCACGGTCTGGGGTTAAGTTAGAGGCGAAACTTTCTGCACTGTATCTCAATCTCAATCTCTCTCTCTCTCTCTCCTCTCTGTCTCTCTGTCTCTCTGTCTCTCTCTCTCTCTCTCTCTGTCCCTCTCTCTCCAACAGGTTCAGCTGGTCTCTGAGCTGCTGGCAGGGATCACTGGATAGTGGGTTGGAAATCAGCAGCTGTTTGAGTTCTACCAGTTCCACCTCTTGGAGAGAAAGGCTCTCTCTCAACTGGTTCATTGTGCTCTCCAGTCTGTGTGGTTCTGTGCTGTCCTGTACTGGGCTGAGTTCTGTGCTGTCCTGTACTGGGCTGGGTTCTGTGCTGTCCTGTACTGGGCTGGGTTCTGTGCTGTCCTGTACTGGGCTGGGTTCTGTGGGGTGCGTCTGCTCCTCTCTCCCCTCTCCCGGTCGCTGGGCTTCACTCCCCCCCCCCAGTCCCTCTCTCAGTCTCAGCCTCTGTCAGGGCTCTGATGAAGGTAACGTCCTGCTGGACAGAGCTGAGACTATCCTCACTGCCCTGAAACATAATGGTCCCATTGTGATAAACATTTACAGTCAGGAAGCTGGCGTCGCCGTCCTGGCTGTCTATGGTTATCTGTCTCCCGTTACAGATGCCCCTCTTTCTGTGCTGCGGGTAGTGGGCGTAGATAGCCCTGTGCCAGGCGTCTGTGCGGTCAGTGTGTAGCAGGAGGTTTGTGACAGTAGTTGTCTGTCCTGATTGACTGGAATCTGCCAGGAGACACTGGGTTTTCTCTCAGTAGTTTGTGTCTGTATGTTTTCTTTGTCTGTGCGGTTTTCAGTTCAGGTGGGTAGTTTATAGCGAGGGGGCGGAGCTTTCCTGCTGCTGCATTAGCCATCACACACACTCAGGCTAGCTGGAGTAGCGCTGGAGCTACAGTAACTGCTGAAAATTAAAAATATGTATTTCTTCAACTGTTTTGTTGAGTTGGAGGTTCTTACCTCAATCTTCCTCGATGGCATGAGTGAAGATCAGCCTCCTGAGTTCAAGGCTCTTCTTTTCTTGTTGTTTTGGTCTGTAGTTTTGCGGCTCCGGCTCAGTTTTCGCTAGCTGAGTTAGCTTCTCTTACCCTTTGCTTTTCTCTTTGTACCACTGAGCTTTTTTCTGCTAAATAAGTTGATCTCTTTTTTCCTTCTTGTAGACGGGTTCTTTAGAGTACTTTTTACTGGTTTACTTTGGTTTATCTCATTTTAAAACTGTTCTATTTGTAAAAGTTTTAAAAGCTGCAGTGAAACATGACTGTGCTCTCTCTCTCTCTCTCTCTCTCTCTTTCTCTCTCTCTCTCTCTCTCTCTCTGTCTCTCTCTCTCTCTCTCTTTCTCTCTCTCTCTCTCTCTCTCTGTCTCTCTCTCTGTCTCTCTCTCTCTCTCTGTCTCTCTCTCTTTCTCTCTCTCTCTCTCTCTCTCTGTCTCTCTCTCTCTGTCTCTCTCTCTGTTCTTATGTGACTTATGAACAAGCCTCCTCTGCGAGACTAAACTGGGATAAGACAGAAGCTTTATGGTGTGGTCCGAGTGGGAATAGCTCTCTGCCACTACTTCCAGGTGGTGTACAGTGGGGTAGGAAGGGGTTGAAGTTTTTAGGGGTCTGGTTAGGAACTGAGGAAGTTAAGGCTAAGAACTGGGAGGGGCTAATGGAGAAAGTGCGTGCCAGGTTGCTTAAATAGTCATGGTTGCCACCCCAGTTATCATATAGGGAGCGAGTTCTTGTCGCCAACAACCTTATAGCATCAACGTTGTGGCCTAAGTTCACTGTGCTAAATCCACCTGGAGAACTGATTAATGCCATTCGGAGGGCGCTGGTGGACTTTTTCTGGAGTGGTCAGCACTGGTTGAGAGCTGCAGTGTTGTATCTTCCTGTGCAGGAGGGTGGACAAGGGCTGATGGATATCCACTCCAGAGTGCTGGAGTGAAATGGTGGATTTTCCAGAGCTGGTGGTCAGAGTGGAACAGGAGGACTGGCAGGATGGTCAAGGGAAGCTCCTTTCACTAGGGACCCCAGTTCTTGGGAACTTTAGTGGACTAAACAAACGGTCATTATATTTTGCCTGCACTAAAGTCTTGAATTTTCGGTCTCTCATGGATATGCGGGAAACCAAATGGACTGAGGTTGTGGGGGCAGACTCGTCACCTAAAGGTAGCTGGCGGTCTCTGTACAAAAGGCCCATTGAAAAGAGAGTGGGAGACCTCCAGTGGAGGATTGTACTTGGGATGCTAGCCACAAACAGGCACGTGGCATGACTTGATCCTTTAGCTGGGGACGGGTGTCCTTTTTGTGGGGTTTCTGAGACGTTGTCTCATGTTTTCGTACAGTGCTCTCGCCTACGCCAGATTCTAAACTTAGTTAGAAACTGGGGTTTAGCGATTTTGGGTGTCTTTGACCAGAGCTTATTTCTCTACGGACCAAAGTATTCTGTCTCGAGGAGGGACGAGGTCATACTTTTAAACTTTTTATATGGAGCAGCGAAACTGGCTATTTGGTGTGGCAGGAAGAACAGGATCAAAGGGCGCGGAGGAACTGATCCAGTTTTAATGGTGAGGGGTTTGGTGTCAAGGCGACTCCTGTTGGAATATGCCTACTACACCCTCACTGATGATGTAGACACGTTTTTTGCTGTGTGTGGGGGGGTTTCATCTGTGAGCCTGACGATCAGGGTGGGTTTGTAATAACTTTGTGAAGGAGACAGTTTGTGGTGTGTTTGGAAAACTTAGGTTTTGTTAACGGTTTAATCTGGATAACAAAGGTTTTTTGTGTTTTTGTTATGGTATGTTAAATAAAAGTGCTTGAAAAGTCTCTCTCTCCCCTCTCTCTGTATCTCCCCCCTCTATCTGTATCTCTCTCTCTCTCTCTCTCTCTCTCTTCCCCCATCTCTGTATCTCCCCCCTCCCCCTCTATATCTCCCACATCCTCTCTGTCAGTACACAGGTAAACACACTCACCTGTATCTCCTTTGTTTTGCAGTATCTTTGGTAACACTGGGGACAGTTTTTTTTTTCCCCACAGTCCCTCTAGCTCACTGTAGGGGGTGTTTAGCGCAGCTCCCCCTTCACACCAGAGTCCACTAAGCCCCTCCTCCAGCAGACCCACTGTTACTGTGCTGAGATGAAGACTGCACTAATAATATTTACTGTTGTATTTTTATTTGGGGAATATCCTTCATTTATTTTGGGGGATGTTTCTCTTTATTTGAGGAATATTCTGTAACTCATTTTGTGAACATTTTTATTTGGAAATTTGGAAATATTTCTCATTTATTTTTGAGCTGCTTCCCATTTATTTTTCATTTATTTGTGGAGTATTATTTTTTTATTTGAGAATGTTTTTCCTTTATTTTTGAGCTGTTTCTCAGATATTTTTCAGTTATTTGGAAAATATTTATTTAATTGTAAAGAGAATATTCTTTAAGCTATTTTCAGTTCATTTTTGAATAATTTGGGGGTTGTTTTTTGAGTGAGTGTTCCTCGTTTATGATGGTATTTCTATGAATTTTTGCTTTTTTCATTAATTTATTTGACATTATTTCCCATTTGTTTGGGCATATTTCTCATTTTTCATAGCTCACTAGTTCACGCTCAGTGTGTGTGTGTGTACTGTATGGTAATGTACTGTGATCATACATTAATCTCAGGTGTGTAAACACCTGTAAGGTTTTCCTCTGATTCATCTTTACTCTTTATAAGTCAGACCCAGCGTGTTTACTGACTGGTTCAGTGTTGTTTTCGTCTGTAACGGTGATGATTGTTTGTAAACACTGATAATAAACAGTGCAGAGTGATGAAGAGTCTGAGAGTGAGGAGCGAACATCACTCCAGACTGAGTTTATTAGAGCACAGGGAAGCAGTGCACAGTCACGGCCAGTCGAGGCCCGAAAGCAGCAGCAGCAGCAGAGATAATAATCATAGTAATAACGATGATGATGATGACGTTCCAGCTTCAGCAGAATATTTCATTAATGTGAATCTGGAGTGAGCGTCAGCAGTTTAAGAGCACGGTTCTGCAGAGAGACGGAGGAGAAGCTAATTATTCAGAATGTTATTATAACTAATATATTTGTATATATATATATATATATATATATATATATATATATATATATATATATATATACACCTCACGTTTACACACACACATCTGTTTCTGTGAATTGTGGGGACATTACATAGACTTCCATTCATTTCCTGGAGACTCACCCAAACTTTAACCATTACTAATACTAGTCTAATACTAACCTTACACTCTTAATGAAGATGGTTCTCTAAGGGTTCTTTAGTAAGGACAACCACGAACACCCAAATGACCATTTGCATGCTTAAATGGTGAAATGGTTCTTCAGATTGATGGAGAATGTGTGTAAAAGGGTTCTGCTATTGTTACGATGTTAAGCTTGTATACAATAGCAGAACCCTTTTTGGTGCTATATAGAACCAACACGTTTTCCATCAATCGACCATGCAGAGAACCTTTTAAGCATGCAGATGGTTATTTCAGTGTTCCTGGATCTACATAAAACTGTTGTCTTTACTAGGGAACCTTTGAAGAACCATTTTAAGAGTGTACCCTAATCTGAAAACATGTCTTCACCTTAAAATATAAGCATTTAAAATGTGAGGACATGAACAGGTTTTGGTCCCCACAACATGGCATAAACCTGGTACACACACACACACACACACACACACACACACACACACACACACACATATATATGTAGTACTGAGTGAAAGTTTTAGACACCTGGTTTAAAGATTGATGTGATTTGAGTGTTTATTTACTCAGAAATACACTAATAATAAAATCAATGAAAATAACATTGATAAACAGGTAAATTAAACCAGGTGCTCCTGATGGAACCTAATAAACCCATGCGATGGCTGCAGGGCAGCAAGAACTCAGGCACCAAACCTGTGTTGTTCTAAGCAGCTCACAACATCTCAACTACTTTATGAACACAAGATATTTGTTACATTTTACTGCATTTCTGTTTATTTGTGTGTTTATTCTGCCGATATTTCATGTTTTACTGACAAAAACTACTTAAACAGTTTCCTTATGTGCTCTCATATAACCCTATGATGTATAATAATATTGATAGTAATAATAATAATAATTATCTCCTTTACTATGTGTTATAGTATTAATGGTGAGAAACAAATGTGTTTAAAAACATGTAAAGGTATATACAGAACACCAACATCAAAAATAAATATAAATCCTATAAATGCAAACACTTTTATTATTAATATTATGTTAAAAGCACCTTTGAATAAACAAATAATGAATAAATGAATAAGAACATGAATGAACATCTCTTTCTCTCACACACTGACCGTTTTTGGGCAGGATGGCGATGTTCCCCTTCAGGATTCCCTGCTCCAGAGAGAACTGAGTGAACTTATCTAGAACAGCCTGACTCGGATCCTCAGTGCGGCCTGAAAAACAAACCGGTATGAACTCACACTGAGCAGCTGAACACACAGACACAGCGGTGCGTGTTCTCTCTGACACAGCACGGCAGATACAGCGCTGAATACGGCTGATATCTAGAACTGCAACAGTATAGAAAGTTAATGATAATAATAGATGACTTAATTGTAGGACTGAGATTATTGTATCATACTGTAAATGTGACTGAATTAAAGAGCTTCTTTCTTACTGTAGAGCTTGTTGAGGACGTAGGAGTGTCCATTCTTGGTCTTGATGGCATGAATGAGGGCGTATTCATCATACTTCACATCCACCATGCGCATGTCATTATCACTGCCCCAGACTGACACACAGACAGAGAGAGAGAGAGAGAGAGACAGAGGGAGAGAGAGAGAGAGAGAGTTATATTTGTGTGAAAAAAAATGTAACATTAAAGCCACCTCCACCTTGTTTCTACACTCGCTGTCCATTTTATCAGCTCCTCTGACCACATAGTTTCACTCTGTAGTTCTACAGTTACAGACTGTAGTCCATCTGTTTCTCTGCATACTTTGTTCCCCTGTTCTTCAGTGGTCAGGACCCCCATGGACCCTCACAGAGCAGGTACTATTTGGGTGGTGGGTCATTCTCAGCACTGCAGTAACACTGACGTGGTGATGGTGTGTTAGTGTGTGTTGCACTGGTCTGAGTGGATCAGACACAGCAGTGCTGCTGGAGTTTTTAAAGTGTCACTGCTGGACTGAGAATAGTCCACCAACCAAAAATATCCAGCCAACAGCGTCCTGTGGGCAGCGTCCTGTGACCACTGATGAAGGACTAGAGGATGACCAACACAAACTGGGCAGCAGCAGATGAGCTATCGTCTCTGACTTTACATCTACAAGGTGGACCGACAAGGTAGGAGTGTCTAATAGAGTGGACAGTGAGTGGACACGGTGTTTAAAAACTCCAGCAGCACTGCTGTGTCTGATCCACTCGTACCAGCACAACACACACTAACACACCACCACCACGTCAGTGTTACTGCAGTGCTGAGAATGATCCACCACCCAAATAGTACCTGCTCTGTGAGGGTCCATGGGGGTCCTGACCACTGAAGAACAGGGTAAAAGGGGGCTAACAAAGCATGCAGAGAAACAGATGGACTACAGTCTGTAACTGTAGAACTACAAAGTGAAACTATATGGTCAGTGGAGCTGATAAAGTGGACAATGAGTGTAGAAACAAGGAGGTGGACTTATTGAAGTGCACAGTGAGTGATATATATATATATATATATATATATATATATATATATATATATATATAGATAGCTAGATAGATAGATATAGTTAGATAGGAGACTCACGCTGACTGCGGTAGGCAAATTTCCCAGGAACGTCCGTCTTTTTAGCCAGATGGTTCATCTTCTTACAGCTGCCATCAGACCTGCACACAGACATTAGCATTACAGCTAACACTGGAACATTAGCTGAAAAATAACTGCTCCCCTCCTTAACACAGATGTAGCTGATCAGCCATCAAACATCACCTGTTTGATGCTTGACGTTTAGTCTTAGCACTGGAGCTACGAGGCTAATGGAACTAAGAAGTAATGGATAAGCTATATAGCTTATAGCTCGCTAATTAGCATGGTGCTAACCGCACGCCTAAATGCCTCAAACCATATGTTGCTTTTCAGTCTCTCTAGTAGACTTGATTCTGTGGTTTCTGACTCTGTGACTCACTGTGATCTATAAACATGGACTAAAGTACGTTAGCAAAGCTAAACACAGCAGCAGCAGGAAGTGTTTGACTGACTGAGTGGAGCCGTACTTGAGGCTGGAGTAGTCCATCTCCAGGTCACCGTTGGGCCGTGGGGTCAGAGTGGCCATCCCCATCTTCATGCTTGCTTTACGGCTCACAAACCAGTCTGCGTTGGTGGCGAAGCCGACCAGGTACCACGTTCCTCTGACCTGGAGCAGAAACAAAGCCTTAACAACCACCTGGAGCTGACCACATGTTTCTGAGTGATGATTATGTGTGAATAAACCAAATAAACACATAGTGATGAGATACAGTGTTCTCGGGCCAAAACATAGTAACCTAATAGTAATCAATTCTAACGTAAATGTGTATATATATATATATATATATATATATATATATATATATATATGTATATATATATATATATATATATATATTACAAAACTTTAATAATTTCCTTGAGAATTTATTATGATGAGGTGTTTTAGTTAATTTCTCACAAGAACAGCTGGTTGTATTTTCTGTCATTGTCACTGTTTACTCCATATTTATATATGTTTTTGTTTACCCTTGCTTTATATTATTTTATGGGGTAAATTTTAAAAGTGCTTAAATGTAGATAAACACATTTAAATAAATGTGTAATATTTTAAGTGATAAAATGGAAAAATGGATATATTTAAAATAATGAAACAGATTAAACACATCTGCATATATCAGTTTTTACATACATTTTTAGCATTTTATCATTAATTATTTCATAATCTGTGCTTGTGCACTGTACTGAGGAACTGACCTTCTGTTCCTTATTTAAATCAATAATTTTAGTCAATAAAGCTGATCAGCTCGCTCTTCTTACCTTCTGAAGGTCAAAGTCGGCCTGAGGCATCACGTCGGCCCTCACGGCCAGAGCGCACAGGAAAACTCCCAGCATTCCCAGCATGGTGGTTGCCATGGCTACTGCGGAGCGAGTCTCAGAGTCAGCACGTGTGGAGATTGAGGGTGAGTTGTGTCCGAGCGCTGGCGTGTTTATATAGAGTACAGTAGACCCCCCCACACTGCACAAAATGTACATACCCCATAATCACGGTTACACAACGGTGCGATGTTTTCCTTTACATCAGCCTGTTCACACGCTTTGTTGTATAACTGCTGGCAGTGGAGCATATAAGGTGGTATGCATGATGCCTTGTTCTAGTCACGCACAGCAGAACCCTGCAGCTGGAACCTGTTGAGGCAGGACGGAGCTGGAGACAGTTTAACTGCAGTCAGCAGGACGACTCTCACATCAGCACGGTGATGAGCACGGATGTCAACACTGGATCGATTTATGTTCATCCACTTTGGAATTTACAGTAATTCATAATCTATCATAACAATGAAACATGGCCCACGGTGGAAAATACTTCGGTAATTGAGGCAGATATGGTCGATCAGCCAGGACATGTTCGGTCTCCAGAGTTCGCTTCTTACAAGTCAATAATCTTACACTAGAAGTCAATAGTCATCCAAATGTTTTCTAAGAATACACCCCCAAAAGCTCCTCTCAGCTTCATGAAGCTGGCGCAGACTTGTAGACGTGGTTTAGGATACAGTTTGAATTACTCTGTTGCCCCCCACCCCCACCTTTATCTAAAGACACAAAGGTTGCCCGCCGGTTCTTTAAAAAGAAGTAATTAGAGGAAAGTGTGCAATAACACTTGCAAAATAATGCCATATTTAAGTCTGTGTTAACTTATTTTCACTTAAGGCCATCGCATATATATATATATATATAAATATATACCGACCAGGCGTAACATTCTGACCACCTCCTTGTTTCTACACTCATTGTCCATTTTATCAGCTCCACTTACTATATAGGTGCACTTTGTAGTTCTACAGTTACAGACTGTAGTCCATCTGTTTCTCTGATACTTTGTTAGCCTCCTTTTACCCTGTTCTTCAGTGGTCAGGACCCCCATGGACCCTCACAGAGCAGGTACTATTTGGGTGGTGGATCATTCTCAGCACTGCAGTAACACTGACGTGGTGGTGGTGTGTTAGTGTGTGTTGCGCTGGTCTGAGTGGATCAGACACAGCAGTGCTGCTGGAGTTTTTAAACACCTCAGTGTCACTGCTGGACTGAGAATAGTCCACCAACCAAAAATATCCAGCCAACAGCGTCCTGTGGGCAGCGTCCTGTGACCACTGATGAAGGACTAGAGGATGACCAACACAAACTGTGCAGCAGCAGATGAGCTATCGTCTCTGACTTTACATCTGCAAGGTGGACTGACAAGGTAGGAGTGTCTAAGAGTGGACAGTGAGTGGACACAGTGTTTAAAAACTCCAGCAGCACTGCTGTGTCTGATCTACTCGCACCAGCACAACACACACTAACACACCATCACCACGTCAGTGTCACTGCAGTGCTGAGAATGACCCACCACCCAAATAGTAGCTGATAAAATGGAGCGTCAAAACAAGTTCAAGGTCATAATGTTATGCCTGATCGGTGTATATATGCATATATACAGCTCAATTCTAACCCTGCCTCTGTGGGTGGCTGATCATTTAGAAAGGCAGCTGTGGAAATCTATAAATAAAACTGATGATGATGGTGGTGATGATATTGTTTACAGTGTACACTCAGCCTCTGCTCATTGTCTTCTATTATAAGTGTGTTTTTTGTTCTTTATTAAGTATGCTGAAGTGATTGTGGTAGTCAGCGCCACCTTACAGACACGGCAGACTGAGATCAGGCTGAAAACACCAGACGGTCCCTTTAATAACACACGGCTACTGAACAACAGACACAACAGAGCACAGGAGAATTTCAGCTGATGTTGTGAAGCTGTAATTGCACAGTGCTTGTAAACAAGGCCATAAAAAGCAGATGAAAGAGTGAGAAAGTTTCCCTTATTGGCATGCTCAAACAAACAAACAAAAACAAACTTGCTGTAACAGCAGAAGCAATGAAAAATAAAAACAATCATAAATAATATGTTGAAGTTTGCTTGTGTGTCTGTCTGAGAGTGTGTGTGTGTTTGCATGTGTGTGTGTGTGTGTGTGTGTGTGTGTGTGTGAGTGTGTGTGTGTGTGTGTGTGTGGGGGGGTGTTAACAGAAAGCTCCAGCAGGAGTGAGGGCTGTTGATGAGGGGAGCAGAATCAGAAAGTCCAAACAGAGCGGCAGAAAGAAAACAACACTAAACTCAGCCACACTGTCCATCTGGGATTTTCTCTGACCACATGACCCTCAGCCAGAGACCACTGTCAGCACTTCATCACTCACAGACACAAACAAGCAAGCATCTGTTTTCATACCATGCCAGGACATGTGGTCAAACATATGTCCCATACTTGTAATCATAATATGTCCCATATGTATTATTATATATGGCTGTTGTCGGAACAAAACCTTGTATCTCTGAAGTGGTAACTTTACAGGAGAAGAAAAAAGCATGCTTTACTTTTAATGTAAGTCAATGGAACCAGAGTTTTTTCCAAGTCATTTTGGGCTGTTTCTTTTGGTCCAATCATATACACACACACACACACGCACACACACACACACACACACACACACACACACACACACACACATATATATATATATATATAATCTCTAGGCACCTCACGATTTGATTCGATTATGATTCAGAAGGCTGCGATGCGATTATAAAATGATTATTGACGCATCTCGATACATCTTTTTTTTCTATATAGCATTTATATTTTCTCAACTTTCGAGTTCAAGTTTCAAGTTTATTTGTCATTTGCACAACATGTCAGGACATTTATGCATTGAAATGCTTGTGGTGAGGCTCAGATAGTCACTCTACAGAAAGTAAATAAATAAAAATAAAAGAAAACTGAAATATATTAAATATACACAAAATATACACAGCATATATACAGAATATAGAGACAATATACATTTTAAAGTGACTAAGTGACTCGGTGTTGTTATTTAAAGTGACTTGGTGCTTTTAAAGCAAAGTATTTGTAATGATCCATAATGAATTTACTTCCAATTTCTTTTTTAATAAATCAAATGGAAGTGATGTGGCAGGTGAACTAGAAGGCTCTCATTCAGTGCTCTTGTTTGGAGCACGAGAAGCTGCTGCTACTCATCTGTGATAAAATGTACAGTTATGGTGAAATAAGATCCAGTGGTGATGGATGACCACGCAGCACATGTTACAGCTGTCCTACCGGTTTAATTCAGTGATTTTATAACTTCGGTTTTGGTCTCATTGTAGAGACGGGGGGGGTCAGTCACAGGGGGTCGCTGTGTCAGTAAAGTATCTTTGAGACGGGTCGTGTGCAGCATTGTGCGAAAGCCCTGTGACACGCCGATTGCGTGCAGACTGCAGGTCACATAGCAGCGATGCATTATTCGCATTTATAAGCAGCGCAGTTGGTTTCCTGGTAAGAGATGATTAAGTCGTGGCCATGACATAGTTATCTTGTTCCCACATCTTACTAAGTCGCGGCCACACATTATTTCTATTAAAGCAGGATGTCACCAGTGGGGCTCCATACACTTCTGCACATTTCAATACACAGTTACTGTTATTGGGTGAGTTTACCATACTGGGGGGAAGAATAAAACATTAAATATGTCCTCTGCAAAAGTTATATAATACATTATACTCATCATATAAACAGGAACAAAAACATTTGCAGGACAATGCCACATTTGAAGGTGTCTCTGTAGAGGATGTGTTGACTTATTTTCAATTACAAAATCAACAACAGCATGGAATTTGACCAGGGGTGCACAAACTTTTGCAAATGCCTGTATTTATTCAATTTCAAACAAAGAAGCTCATGGTGTTCTCAGAACAATGGACTGACCACCCCAGAGTCCAGACCTCAACACCACTGAATGTGTTTGATTACTTCAGAAAATCATCAACCAGCTTCTGAGACTGAACTTTGGAGGTGTGTCTGCAGATTCTTTGAGGAACTGAAAGTGAGTCTCCTGAAAAGAATGGAAGCTGGAATGAAGGGAAAGAGTGACTCACTGACTCACACAGCTGAGAGGAGATTTAGTTGTTGAGGCTTCTGGCTGTGACAAATTAATAATTTAATGGCTGTTTTGAATGGAAATTAAGTAGATAACCTTTAGGCAGCACTGTATGTGTACTGGGGCTGCACAACAGCAATGTGATGCAACAGTTATGTGATGAAAGTTGAGTCGATGTTGACTAATTGCGGATGATGTCATGAAAAAAAACACAGAATAAGGGAATGATTTGCAACAACTTGTAAAAGAGGTTTTTAATCTCATTGTGATTACCCTGGTTAAATAAAGGTTAAACGTTTCTTTAAAAATCTGACTTTAAAAATCTGTGATGAAGCCAAGCTCCACAGGTCAGTAGAGCATGATGCGCCCTTTCTAATGAGAAATTCATGGATCTCATTGCTAGCCTTCAGGATAACAGAGATACGGGCCCCAAAATCTCACAAATTAGTGTCCTACTTAGGCGCACCCTAGGCGGCCTTTCAGGGACGCTTGCCTGTGGCGGAGACCCAGAGAAAACCTTCGGAAAAACATATCCTGAAATCACCAGACTCCTCATCTGCTATCTTCTCTGAGGCCTCCATGTTGTTAGTTTCATAATCACAAGATCAGAGACTCGTCAACATCAATCTTAAAGCGCCATCTCTGAGCAGTGGAGTCGACTAGTTGAATAGTTTGTGCAGTGTTGTTCGTGTGGCAGTGGCAGTGATTTAAAAGCATATTACATCAGGGCTCACAGAAATCATTGTAAACACAAAGATAAATCACCCTGGAGAATAACAGGCAGGTTTACTGCAGTGTGGTGAGCACTGCGGTGTGTGAGGAACGCTGTGGTGTGTGAGGAACGCTGTGGAAGAGATTTCTATCTCCAGTTCAGCTGAGTTCATCTTCAGTTCAGCTGAGTTCATCTTCACTTCAGCTGAGTTCATCTTCACTTCAGCTGAGTTCATACGCCTCACTCCATCCAGTTCTGTATGCAACATCATTTATAGCCAGTGTGTGAAA